AAAAAAAAAAAAAAAAAAAAAAAAAAAAAAAAAAAAAGAAGTACAATAGATCAAACTTGAAGATTAAAACCGTATCCATGCATTCTTGTGCATTTCTGTGGTTATCAGGTGGAATATGGCTGAAGCATCATGACAAAAGGGTCTGACTCCAGCTTGAATCAGCACAAAACTGGTAAGTTGTTCAATGTACTTCTGGCCACTCACGATGCTCTGAGGCTTTCCCTGTGGGTGTGTTTGTTTCTTTACCACGTGCAACTGTCTCCAGCATGGATGATCCCCAAATGCTAGAGGATGAGCTAAGAAACTGAGTTCAAGATGCATCTTCTTTGCCCAGAACTAAGGAGTTTCCCAGGAAGTAGGGAACAGTTTTAAAGTTGGGACTGTTATGGGCAGACTGGTGAGTTTGGTAGGTTTCTGAGAACAGATTGAAGTTTGATTCTCATTAATTCATTTCTTATAACACCAACTTGGGGCAATTATAGTCACTGAGAACTTGATTGGACACACAAAAAGCTGTCCTCAATTTAGGACTATGGGGCTGAAATAAAGCTGGCACCTGGTCAAAGACCCTGAGGAGTAACGTAACTCCTTGTCTAATCCAGGAATGATCAGATTTTGAAGTGTGACATCATGGCTTACAAATTAAACATTAACGTTCTTCTCTTCTAGCAACGGTGCTTAGGGGCACTCAGTTTGATCTACTGTCATAAGCTTTCCTGTATTACAGCCTAAAAGCAGGCTGGGCCTGCTCCACACACCTGGGAATGGAATTGTTTGCCTTTATACCAATAAAATTCAGGAAGACGCCAAGACTGTACATGGTTTATGCCCAGACAGATGCTGAAGAGCTTGTGCTGAGACATCTAAAGTCCTCACTAGATTGCCTAAGACAAAATCAAGCATTCCAGTGGGGCTGCCGTGGCTCCGTGTGGGCTAAGATGGGTCTGAGATGGAACCAAATGTCCTTTCCCTGTGGAGAAACGTGAAGGTGCTGAAGGCACAAGCCAGCGTCAGAAATCTAAATAAGCTAAACCAGCAACACTCGAAAGAAGCTAAGTAACAAAAACTGGAGTCTTGTTCTGTGCAGAACAAGGCCAGCAGGATGGCTCTGTGAGACCGGCAACCTGAGTTTCACCCCTGGAGCCCACTCCACAAAGGGATCACCTGCTGTATACATGCTATGGCACAGGCATCTCTTCCGTCACGCATACAACAACAATAAATGATAAGTTTTTAAAAAAATAAGCATTAAAAGAGAAAGGTCACAGTGAGATCTATCTGAAACATATTCTCTGGAGTTTGTTTTTAAACAAACTCCAGATTCTTTCCAGATACGCACACAACACTGAAAGCCGTGTGCTATCAAGCAAGTAATGTTTTGCAAACACATCTCAGTGTTTCATTTCTCCTGGAAACCGTCACCTTGAGAGACCACACACTTGGTCCACGATGGCCAGCAGTTCTAAAAGTCTTTGAGTTGCCTTTAAGCACTACCAGCTTATTTTATAGTCTTCTCTCAATCTTAATGACATTGTGTTAAGAACACAGGTCGCTTCCCTTACTCACCTAATGTAAGTGCACACAACCTAATTTTTTTCTTCCTAAAACAAAATTTCTACCCCAGAGGAGAGCATTTGCCAGCATTGGCGAGGGGAAAAGAGCCCGGGCACCAAAGCCAGTCCCAAAGGGTGAAAAGCATTGCTTTGAGGAACGGTGGTCTGCATCACAAGAAAACTTCAGCGTGGGGATTAGAGGGATGACTCAGTGGTTAAGACAGAGGACCTGGGTTCAATTCCCAGTACTTGCCGCTAGCGGCTCACACTTGCCTGTAACTCCATCTCCAGGAGATCTGATACCCTCTTCTGGCCTCCATGGGCACCTGCCCTCATGAACATGGACATAGACATACAGGCACACATGCACGCGCGCGCACACACACACACACACACACACACACACACACACACACACAATCCTTAAAAGGAAAATTCAGTTTTGATCACAGTAATTTGGCAGTTTATAAATTCTTATGTAATTACTGCCATCTCTCATGCCACTTATATTAAACTAAACAAACTTTTAAAATGTCAATTAACAAGCTTATCATTTCAGTTTTCATTCTAAATCCCGACCTCAGCGTCGCCCAACTGGGTCCCAGTCCACTCAGATTTCCTTTCCTGGCATTTGCTCCAACAATGAGCTCATTTACAGCTTTTATGCTGTGTTTCCCTTTGACTTCACTCTTCCTCAGGGCTTCTGCCTTCACTTCTAAGACACCGGCTAGTTAGCTCAGAGTTGCTTTGTGGAGGAGCCTGGAGATAGACTTGTGTGAGGTCTTTTAATTAAAAGCCTTGTCACGTGTAGCATCCTCTAATAGAAGCTTTTCCCAACATCGGCTCAGTTGATATTTGGGATTGGGTAAGTCCTGGTTGGAGGGTGACCCTGACCTTTGTATTAGAAGACATTCAGCAGCATCCCCAGCCTGGCCCAGCAGATGTCAGCTGGGACAGCTGGAAGCATCCCCAGTCAGTGCCAAATGTTCACTGTAGGGAAAAAACACCCGAGCAAAGGACCGTGGGTTGGCACAAGGGGTGGAGAAATAACCTTCTTCTCTTCATGGCCTCTGAAGTAATAGACGTTATTCTGAATCAACTTAATGGCCACTAGGAATAGCTCCCATGCTGGCCAGTGTGAAAGAGAAAACAAACACTTCAAGCAAAGGAAAACATAATTATCTTGTTGCTGTAGCAAATCTATATTTAAAAAATTGTTGTGCTCGCCATTTCCAGGTGGAACACTGGGCATGTATGACAGGGTGGAACACTGGGCATGTATGACAGGGAGGAACACTGGGCATGTATGACAGGGAGGAACACTGGGCATGTATGACAGGGAGGAACACTGGGCATGTA